CATGACCATCCGAGTGCAGGACACTTTAGTCAAGCCAAGACCCCGGACTTGGTCCAGAGGCATTACTGGTGGCCAGGAATGCGACGAGAAATACAACTACATGTTGAAACTTGCCTGGTTTGTCAACAGGCTAAGTACTCTCGTCAAAAGACCCCAGGCTTATTATAGCCTCTGGGCATTCCTGAGGAGCCATGGACTGAATTGTCCATGGACTTCATTACACAACTGCCAAAAACTAAGGCAGGTCATGATGCTATCATTGTGTTCATCGATAGACTGACCAAAATGGTCCGCTTCGCAGCCACGACCACCGAGCTCTCCGCAAAAGGAGCAGCTGACTTGTTGGTGCAGAATGTGATAAGGCACCACGGTGTCCCCTCTCAGATAGTGTCCGACAGAGACGTTTGGTTCACTTCCAGGTTTTACCGGTATCTGGCCGAGAGGTGGAAGATTCAGCTCAATATGAGCATTGCGTATCATCCACAAACGGATGGCCAGACCGAAGTCATGAATCGGATTCTGGAGGATTACTTATGCAGCTATACGCGTTCTGACCATGACGCGTGGGATGAACTGTTAGCCATGGCCGAGTTTGCAATGAACAACTCGAAAAATAGTTCCACCCAAGAGACCCCGTTCTATTTGAACTACGGTCGGCATCCAAAGAGTCCCTTAGCTCTTGGAGTGCAAATTCGGAAGCCTTTGAAGGGCTATGACAATCCGAATGCCCGTGGCTTGGCAGTGGCCATTGATAGGGCACAGCAGCCTTACTTAAGGCATACTGGTACACCCCTCATGGAGGGCCTACCAGCTGTGACACGATTTGATCACCGTGTCCAATCAGCGCTGAAAGAGGCCAGGGCGTGCTTAGAAAAAGCACGAGATAGGCAGTCAAAGCATGCGGACCGCCATCGGAGGGATGTGTTATTTAATAGAGGAGATGACGTCCTCCTTTCGACACAGCATATTACCCTCAAACACCCTGGAACTCGAAAATTACTACCGAGGTGGATTGGGCCCTTCACCATCCTCGACCGGATAGGTCCTGTCGCATATCAACTGGAACTTCCAGAAAGCATGCATAAGATACATCCGGTATTTCATGTATCAAAGATTAAGCCGTATAAGGCCAGTGGAAGAGTACAGCCACCTCCAGTTCCTATCGAAATCGAAGGAGAACTGGAATATGAAGTTGAACGCATCTTGGACAAAAGAATAAAAAGTGCGGAAGGCGCCAAAACTCGGTAGAGTACCTTGTCAAATGGCTGGGATATGGACATGAGCATAATAGCTGGGAATCAGCAAAAGCAGTTGCTAATGCACAGGAATTGGTTCAAGCATTTGAAAATGGAAGAACTCCTGTCGTGCATGTATCAACTGATCGAAGTAAGAAACGTACACAGTGAAATAAGCTCATGTGTGGTTATGCCTTTGACAGGTCTTGCTCAAGTGGGCACAGAAGTAGACCGGTTATACCGGACCCCATACAAGAACGTTGTTCGGACACATGAATGCGATGTTTGCAGCCATTTTGAATGGGGAACGCCTGGCCACCGACCAGCCATTGATCCAACCCCCTCGTGCACCCGTTCGTGGACGTGGACGAGGACGCGGTACTTCGCAGCCTCGGGGAGGACATAGCTGGGCATATGGTGGCCGTACGTATCGGGGTAGGGGACGTGCAGGGTGACCTGCATGTTCCACGTTTTTCCCTTGGACGGACATAGGCCGGAAGGTCAGAACCTTGCAGCCCAAGTGCTGAACGAAGAGTTTTAATGAGGGTTGTCAAAGGCCGGCAGGTCATGTAAAACAACCACTCTTTCTCTTCACCACAGTTTGTATAATGTATGTATGATTACCGTGCAAATTGGGCATGTGGCAAATCGCACAGCCAGTTGCCGTATCCATACATAATGTTTCTGCTCCTATATCCACGCAGTGGGACGAGGACGCTCCTCTCCCTGAGGGGGACGAATGTTACGCGCACCGGCCTGATGTGGGGGACGCCCTACTACTGGCCCTTGGTGTGGGGGACGCCCTGCCCAAGATAACTATCCTCAACCCATAGTAACCATTCTAGGTATTAGGATACGGGAGTAGGAGGGGTGGTCCCGCCTAGGTCCCCGTAAGGACCTAGGTGCCCGGCGAGGCGGGTCCGCGGCTTAAAGAGGGCGGGAACCCCACACCCACAGACTTTACGTATCAGACCCCCACGGCTACCATGGTAGGGGTAGCCACTACCATGGGGCAGCCACGGTTACACAGGGCAGCGTCGGCAGCTACCCTAACATGGCATGGTGGCGCAGGGCTGAGAAATGGTAGGGTAATGGGTTCGGCGACGAAAGGGCAATGATGTGGGAAACCGCAGGGACCTTTGTTGTAGGGGGTGAATGGCTTAAAGCATTAGGGTACTAGAACCCGAGTGGAATGAGAAACCGTTTCGGGATGTGGGCATATATGTTTGGTACTGTGCTTGGCGGGCCACGGTGCTAGGACAATTCATTGTGGTATGCTTGGACCTGCCAAGTACGGGATGCGGTTACCCGGGAAAAACGGTACTAAGGGAAGTGGTGGTAGTCGAGGTGGCAGAACGGAGTGCATACTATGGCGGATGGAAATGTTACCAAAGGGGGTGCGGTACTGCGGCACTCTATGGGAATGTGTGTGTGAGATATGTAAGGTACCGCCTATTGGAGATTTCTTGGCAATAGTACCATGTTGGGAAATGGAACCTGCACTTGGATTGTATGTGGATGCACAGATTTACTTGTAACGAACGCTGGTTTTGGGCCCACCCTGGCGTTTCTCTATGCAGACATGGGGATTGCGCCCCGTTTAGTGGTTACATGCCACACTGACAGCCGCCTATTGTGGGTGCATCCTCGCCGTGGAGTTCAGCTCGTTCGGGTGGGTGTCCATTTTCTTGCGTAACCGGCCCATTGCCAGAAGATTCGTCAGTTGGACGCCATTCCTGCGGTGGTACGAGGCTCGACGCCACACGTGCTCCCTGAAATGACGAGGTGTTCCTGGGCGGGTGAGAAGAGAAATGAGGGCCTATCCCTTCATCAGAGACAAACCTTTGTTGCTCACAACGCATGGCAGCGACCGTTTTCATCGGGTGGGTCAGATACGATGATTGCCCAGTATTGGTAAGTGGCGACAGGGACACTGCAAGGGACCAAAACAAAATGGTAGATGCAAACACTGAGTCACGGATAATGACATGATTTCAACCCTTGACTCAAGGAGCTACTGGAAAAGTTTTGAAACCGAAGCTCAAGAAATGAAAATTTTCCTAGAAACAACGAAAACTGCACTGCACAAATAATAACAGCAGCAGGAAATGCCTTTACATAGCCAGATTTACAAACGCTTCCGAAGGGTTGAATCAACATTGGTATTGTCACCGGCACCATAAAATGCCTCTCAACCCATTCCAACCAGCCTGCGGCTGCTCGACTGTGGTTGCGGAGCGTGATCCAGGGGCAGGCCACAGCAAACACGATGGAGAAGAAGCCGTGCACTAGCCACTGCGCACCGTGCACAGGCCCACAGGCGCAGCCCGACCAAGACGGCGGACGGCTAGCCAGATACTGTCCGTCAGATAATGGCCGCACAGACTGCCAGACTTGCTCCCCGACATGTGGCAAGGAGCCATTCTGTTGGGCGTTCTGCCTGGTGCAAGAATGATGCCATACCGGGCACAGTGCAGGGTGGTACTGTAACGCGTTTCCATGGGAGGGGGGGCATTTTTAAACAACGTGCACTACAGTTTCCGGACGCTTCTCATGCCCAAAGCGTGTAGGGCGACATCCTATCCAAAGCAAAAGTTCCAAGTTCTGTTGCTATTCATCACAGCCCGCTTCGCAATGACCAAACGGACGTGCCCCATACTCCACAGCCATTAAGCGACTCTGGCGTACCTTCGCATCGAAGACGTCACCACTGGAGCCAACGAATCGGTTCAACCATTAATACCATCCCAATTGATGAAACTGTGATAAAGTCGACACACAAAGAATTCCAGCTATCGTGGGACCCAAAAGAATACGTCAAGAGCATATGAATAAGAGCATTGTAGCGCGATGGTTTCCTCGACCATCCACTGCCCCACACACTCTGCAAAAGAGCACCACGCACAGCCTACCGATCAGTAGGAGGCCATGGCCATATCATTTTCCATGCGGGGAATTCCAAACTCGTGCTGTCGACCCACTGCATAACATAAATGCGTGTTGTGCAACCATGCGTGCATATCCGCCAGGCTTTTCAGCTGCGGCTTGCTTTTCATCACCCAGGTTTTCAAGCTCTCGGCCTCTCGTGCTCGCCGAGCCTGCAGAACCTTGTCAGCCATCGTGCCCCTGTCGTCAACAGGGAAGAAATCAAGGAGAAACCTGAACAGAAAAGCCAAGCTAGTGAATATCAGCTTTTGGAATAAATCCACCGTAACACATGCGTGATATTCACGCCCATCATCGCCTATCAGGTGCAAGGGCTGTGTTTTGCCATTTCATTGCAAATGATATCGATGGATTTTGATGATAATGATGCGTGATAACTGTTCACAGTGAGTGATGCCGCACTACGAGGTAAAACTGTCAGCCTTGGTTGTAGAAGTAATTGCCACAAGATACAAAGCCTACTGCCGTTCATCCATATGCAGTTCTTCGTTGCCGGCGTATGTGTGCTGGGACTATCCGAGCCAGGTACACCTGCCGCCGTCCTGCAGACTTGAACAGATCTAACAAGCAAGCATCGAGTATGGGCGCCACATATCACAAGTAATGACTTGACATATGATATATCAAAATCTGGCCATACCAACAGGATGTATGATGACTGGATTTGAGCCCGAGCATCATTGCCACAACACAACCATAAAACTACAAAATTCCGACTAATACTTCTTAGCTCCTCAAATGCCTACATGCGGGGCCATACTGGGTGATCGTGCCAGCCGAAGTCGTCATCTTTTGTTTAGCTTTTATGCATGCTGATTTTCCCCTCATTGACAGTAAGAGCAGCTGCCTGTTCAATTGCAGGTCAAAGTTGACACATTGCAAGAGCAACATCAACAATGTCGATGCTTGATTTGAAGCTCCAGTGGCAAGGAATTCTGTCATTATATTGCCATCGCTGCCATGTCAGCATACTCACCGTTTCGATTCCCCATAAGCATTGCCTTCCTCAGCTAGTTCAAACACATCTTTAAACAGTTGTTTCGTCCTCGGCATGTGAAATGCACTGGTGACAATGGCCATTTTTCGCCACCTGGCTGGCAATGCATGGATCGTCAGAGCAAAGTACACATTGCCTATCGTGTCATGGGAAGACACTTCCTTGTAGATCCCGTCTCTTACAGGATCCAATCCATGTGACAGAAGATACTCTGACAAACGAGTTGATTCATGGACAGGATAGCCTTGCTCTGTCAATGGAGGCTTCTTGTGTGGCGTGCCACCCCCTGAATCATTGCACATGCTTAGTGTGCTTGCCAGGGATGTGTAATTTTTTCCACGTGAGCACTCGAATGAATAGGCAGAGGCCACAATGAGCAAAAGATCAAAGCACCAGTCAAGTTATCCCTTGAAGCATGTTTGGATTTGAGTCACCCCTAAACAGCTGCACAACATTCGAAATGTTTCTCAGGACAAGACAGCAGTGCACAAGTGTGCAAGGAGGATATCGGTTGTGAACAAGGGATGTTACACACATGCCATGTGTTGGGCATTGACCTGGTGGACAAATGCCAACAAAATGGGCATGGTGATGGCAAATGACAGGACATTGGCCTGGCATCCAACATGTTGCAGCACATTTGACACAAAGCATATCATGCAAGCAGACCTTTGCAGCTTGTCTCTCATACATGAGTGGAGCCATGAGCAATAGAGTGCCAAGTGCTGACATATGCTACCCATTATCACCACGTGAATACAAGTTCTTGCGCTGCAGTTCTTTCACCACTGTTGGCACTGCACCTGCCTTGGCAGGCCACCCAACAGACAGGGCATTCCAGTGCTGGAGCTGTCATGGTGAAAACCCTACAACCTTGAGAGCAAAAGCCATGCCATCATTGGATAAGAAAGTTCAAAGCTAATTGCATGTTGTGCACTCAAGCTGCCCCATATGGATCGAAGGCTGAGGTCCTCTTAATGTGGTGCTGTAGCCAGACAATAACCATCTGGCTGCCTGCACCAGACATATGGTCAATCAACGGCTTGCCACCAGCACCAGAAAAGTAGCACACAGGAACATGATATCAGCTCACATGCTGGGCAGGCCATACTAAAATGATCCATTTCGCACAGTGGTCCAAGGTATCTTGTTGCTTGAGTAGCTACCGCCAGTGCTGCCACCCCCAACAGCACTTGCGCACGTGCACCAACGCTGGTTCCGCTGTTTTGTGACGAAGCCTGTCCTCCAAGTTATGGACCTGGCACAGCGCCTGGTATAGCCCTGTTGCTCAGAAGGGCCAGACTGTGCCGAAAGCTATGCTTTGTAACAAAACAGCAGCCTTGTGAGTCCAAGTTCGGAACCACACAGCGGCTCAGCGCAGTCCCCGTGACAATACCCTCACCTAGGCAGACAATGGGGCAGAACGCGTCCTGCCTCTTCTGTATGTCGATTACAGCGTCCATCCTCCTGGTGACACTGGGCGGCAGTGTGCCTTGAGCAGTGAATCCCCCCGCCAGCACAAAAATGGCCTCATAATCTGTCGCGCAATCCGGCACATCTCCGTCCTGCGCTCCAACCAGCCAGGCTATGTCCTGTGAAGCGGACGAGCACAGCCGGGGGGCCCGACGGAAGCCTCTGATGGCGCGGTATTGCTGGGAGCAGAGACGGCCAGCCTGGAAAACCAAAGTGGGACTGCGGTGTCGATGCGTTGTCGAGAAATGGCAGATGGCAGCACATGCGCAAGTGCTCTGCACGTTCGCGGACACGCAAGCCTATAGACACTTGCAGAAAACCTCCAAGGCTGATTCAAGGCTGCAAAACGTGTGTGCTGTTGCGCAGTCTGGGTGAGTTTGCGAGGCGAATGGGTAATTCGCTACACTGGCGACGCCCCAAAAGGTCAGTAGCTACTCGGAAACGCTTTTCGTCCACAGGACCACGCGTGGTGAAGGTGCTACGGAGGGCCTCAGGTCACAGACTGCTGGCCCACCGCCTTGGCGACAGCAATCACCTCAGTCCACGGGCCCCAGGTGGGCAGCGAGCAGCACCGCGCTGGCACGGTGCCCAACTTGGGCACCCGGCACAACATGTTCGGAGCATCCAGTGCCCCAGCCGGGGCCGCTCCGTCTTATTGCGCCCAGCGGCCTTCGCTTGCTCGTTTTGTCAGACCGCGGCCTTGCGCACGGTGCAATCCGCCCTTCTTATCCCCGCATGAGTCATGTTTTCACCCTTGGCTTGATTGGCTGTTCTTAGTCTGACCGTGGTACAGAGCCGTGGTAGATGCGATATCTTGTTGTCGAAAACACCCTTCCCGAACTGTGGTTGATTGCACAGGAGAGAGCGCCCGAACAATGCTGGTAATTCTTACTAAATTTGTAGTGTCTATATGCACACAGTGGTGTTAGTTTTTTTCCTTCCTACCTTTGCTTATTTTAGACTATCCTGCAACTTCCTCCTTGTATGTACTTGAGGAATTCATAGGGCATTTGTGCCAGCCTCCTTTCTTTGTTAACCCAGCGGTATTTAAAATACTTGCCTGTCAATCAAGCCTTGCCCGCCCAATAGTACATGCCAAAACACAATGGCAGCCTGCAATGCATCGACAGGCCCACTGCCATGCTGGCATTCAAGTTAGACCTTTTTTTGTAGTGGCAAGCCTTGCTACACGAGTTACCTACCCCTCCGACCAAGGGTAAAGTTTTGACGTGAGCGATTCGTGCTTCTCCTCCCCCCCAAGCCGCAAAGTTTCGACACACCACTCTCCAAGTGGGCTTCAGGCTTGACACGTGCAAGCTCATGGCCCCACATATAACAAGGTCACACATGACTGCCTGCCAGTATGACAAACCGTTGTTGCATGCTGAGAGGCCAGAACGACACCAAATGGCAAAAGAGAAACTCAAGTTATGTAGAATTCCTCAGGATAATAGCGACCAAATCGGTGCAGAATGGCAACAGTCGGCCATGTATTACAATGGTGGTGGGCCCCCTAGTCCAGACAAGGATGAGTGCACCCGCGAACTAAGACAAATAGCTTATGGAGTGCCCACTATTATAGGTGGCGTGCTCCCCCTCTCGTCATGACACCCTCGGTCTCCTGTAATGTCCAATACACTCTTCAGAGGTGGGCCATCCCAAAATGGGGACGGACTAGGAATCGTGATAGAAACAGGAACGGGAACGGACCGGAGTCCGTTCCTATCCTTGGGCCGGCAAGCCCAGGAACAGCTGGGGAACGGCCCATCCCTGGGCTGGAACGGACTCGGGATGGATCTGGAATGGTGTGCAACCATCGCAATTCCGTTCCGGCGCAGTACGGCTTACCTAAGAGTCCATTCTTGTACTGCTCATGGCATTCCAGAGTCCGTTCCAAGCCGGTCCATAGTCCGTTCTAGGCTGGTCCAAAATCCATTCCAGGCTGTTTCTATTATATAAACTACTAGAGGGTAGCGGGTTTACAAAAGTTATATATTGGGAAATATACTTAACTATCATGTTAATGAGTTTCTGCCTAGGACGACGATGGGTGGGCGCGGATCGGCCAGTCTGGGCCATTCCGTGTCTTTGGCCAGTTTGGGGGCCATCACTAGGCTGGTTTCTGTCACCCCTGTACTCGGGGTCAGCTCTACCCGGCAGATCCAAGGGCAGTTGGGTTGAGCCTTATACCTTGGACACAGCCAAGGGGACCGGTCAAGCTGGCCCTTGGGTTTGGCGGGGAGTTTGGCGGCAAGTGGGAGCGGCTATTTTAGGCGCGACCCTTGGCGCCCCCTTTTATCTTGTTTTGCTTCGCGCCAACCTTGGCACAACCCGGAACCACCGAGTGGTTCGACTCTCCGGCCTCCACGCCGAGTCTGTTATGCGCACCGGCCTGATGTGGGGGACGCCCTACTAATGGCCCTTGGTGTGGGGGACGCCCTGCCCAAGATAACTATCCTCAACCCATAGTAACCGTTCTAGGTATTAGGATACGGGAGTACGAGGGGTGGTCCCGCCTAGGTCCCCGTAAGGACCTAGGTGCTTGGCGAGGCGGGTCCGCGGCTCAAAGAGGGCAGGAACCCCACACCCACACACTTTACGTATCATTTGGTTTCGGAGCCACCTGGGGGTGGCTACCACGCTTCCGCCTGGGCGGACAAGCGAGCCAGAAACACCGGGCCCCTTCCCCGGCCTCCTCTATGGAG